AAACACTCTCTGGATGGCACCTCCTTTTGTGTGCATCAAGTTACTTGTTTCTGCGGGACAAACTACATAAGCTGCACCACAGGACATCTAGCCGAACGTGTACCTGAGCATTATCCAGCGTGTTTGGGTCGGGAACTAGATAAAACATGCACCACTGTGATTGCCGCACATCCGGACGGTACTAATCACCCGGTTGTTATTACCAAGGTTGTCCGCCCGGTCTATCGCGTGGGGTGGGTCCGATTTCAACTGACCAAATGCCGCATACTTGCCATGGCAGAGGCAATCGTGATCTGTCTTCACCAACCTCCTCTATGTGTGTACAAACAATCTGTGAGGACTCTGGCTCACCTCTGGTCAGCTGTTGTACACTCAATCGTTTGAACCAATCGAAACACGGCGGTTACATCTACCTCCTACTTTAATTTCAATACGTGTTTTACCCTGTTCTGTGTCACCTATTTATATGTTTTGTACTTAGTCTGATGATGAATCACCGAAAAAGAGGTTGTTTTCTACACCGACTTTCCGGAGTAACATGGGAATTATTCATCATCTGAAACTTGGCATTGTTCAGTAACTTGACTAGCTGTTGTACCTGCAGTCATATAGCTTCCGAGGTCTTAAACAACAGATCCACCATGGTGGATTCCACTAATTTGCTCTGGACTTAAGGGAGATGATATAGCCAAGGAAATACAAAATGCTGCGCTAATTTCGGATGGCCCGATTTGGACAAATAAGATTGTAACATCGACAGTCTCTCCAAGCTTAGTGAAGGGGAGTATGGAATTAAGATATGAATGAGTAGACTTGAGTAGGCATTTAAGTGCCTACAGGAAACAACTTAGGTTCGTCATCCGAACACGGGAGAATTTTAGTTTGGCGCTCTGCAAAGCAGAATGGTTTCCAACGACCGTCGATAACCATAGCGCGTTTGCTGTTTTTATGTAAATGCATGTGCTTCAGGTGCAGTATGAGAATGGTTACCAGGTAAGGTTGCTTTGTTAGAACATATTGCGTTAAGTGTATCGGTACTGTCGTGTGTCCACAAAAGTGATGTCATCGTGCAAAAGCCTATGCAACTGAGCTCCATTAACACTCTCGACCCCGGTCGAATTCAAGATTGGTTGCCTTCAACTTTATCCGCAGGGAAAGAATGGTGGCTGTAGCAACTGGAGCTTTGATGGGCTATCCAGGAAAGGTGCAAGGGGAGTTATACAGTTTCCTTTTAGGCAGGGAGCTTCAGGTTATTATGTGTAGTAGTTCACGTGTTTAGCTGCTCTGTTTTCAGACATAATAACGCTATTTTAATTAAGCTTGGAACTAAAATACGTTAGCTTTTAGTGGACAGGTTCAGATATGAAAAACTTTGAGGGAATTAATGGTAGTCTTTTAAAACTAATGTCATCCTTAGTAAGATTTCTTGCTTTCTATTGGTATCCCTGATGTTAAAAGCGAGAGGATGTCCGCTCCATTGTTAGTAATGACTTCCGTTCACATTTGCTTCTGTGGGTATTCTCAGAAGCTGCAGCATTGAAGAGATTGGATGCCAATTTTATGCTTCGGTTTGCAATTTTGTAAGCAGCTTTGAGAACAGCAGATAAAAATAATGCAGCGACAGTTTTGCAGTTTGTTTAGCCAACGTTTTCTTTAACATCTCAATTAGGATTGACAATGGGGCCATTAAATCGGCTGTTAACTTTACACTTGAATGTTTGGTTTGCTCTAACCAATAGTGAAATGTCAGTTCCCAGTAAGTATTTTTGCTATTTTCTTCGGTTAAACTAATCACAATGAACACTGAACAACAATGAATAAGCTTTCATCAAGAGTATTTGAGCAAGTTGTTGACAATTGCTGTTGAGCGTTTTGAGTGAACAAATAACATCAAAACATATGTAAATCACTGGTTTAAGGGTCTACCTATTTAGTTGTGCTGTCGCATAATAATGCTGTGAAATAGAAAATGAGTATAGTTGCATAAAACTATAAAGAAAGCAGTTATATTTGAGCTATTGTAAGAAAAAAGTAAAAATCGTGTGTTTGTGCACTCATCCTTAGGTCCTTGAAAAATGACGTGGACCTCGAGGTTGCGATCACACTGATTCGACTCTGTTGGAGTACTTCTCAGATACTAATGATAAGAGGTGTGCGGAGCACGGAAGTACGGAGCACAGTTAGATCGGCTGGACCCAAGGTATATTGCCAAAATCTACAGGAAATAGTGGGCGGGCAAGCAAAGGCAGACTGCAGTGTACAGCATGACTCATGGGAGAGAACTGGTTCGTATGTACCATAATATTAAACAGACGGGTGATCATAGGATATAAACAAGTTATTGAAAGCGTGTTTGGTTCATGCTCAATGCACGCTGTAGCCCTTTTGTGGACCATTACTCGCCAAGTTACTGCAAAACATTAAGCAAATCTTCATTCGACCCGGATTTGTCAGCTCTACCATTTGCACACTTAACTTCCGGATTATTTTTATTGTTTTATCGTCCGCCTCATGTCTGTTTTTGAAACAGAACTTTTGGCTACGATTCATGGGTACAAGCCTTCGGGGACTTTTGCATTCGTTCAAAAGCGTTTTCGGTGGCGAGCGCGTTAGCTAAAAATCAGCCTCCTCCAATGCTGTTTGCATTAATTGCCTGGCATTTCTTCTAAGCCGCTGCTCGCCCAGAGACAAATGGGCGTTAAACGATAACCTAACGCTAATCCTCACTTTTTTGACTTTGTCAATCAGTGCGCAGGCGTAGTCCATCCATCGACCAGCGCATTCACCTCACCAGTCAGTTTACCCTAACTTGACCTTTTTAACCATCTCGATGGGCTGAGTGCTCTGCGCAACTGAACAACGTCGGAAAAGCACACATCATGCTTGTCACCATGTCGGTTTTCGATGCGATGCTGAGTAGCAGAAAGCAAGTAGATGCGAATATAAATTGCTTCGAACTTTACACTACTCACAAACATCCACCATTAATCTACTCTCGCCCATTGGACGTCTGAAGGACAGGAACTTCGGTCTATTGGGAAGTGACGGGTGAGTGAGCCGATCTGCAACATCAGGACAGGTACTGTGAGCTTATTGGCAACACGTCGCGCACCAAGCAGAAGACATGCGTTAAAATTTGCGCACCTAATCGTCAGCCCTCGGTAGCTCAGGTGGTAGAGCAACGGACCGGAAATTCGTGGACCGGGGTTCGACTCCCCGTCGAGGCATATTATTGTGCGTGAATTTTAATCGTGGCTTCTACTTTCTTCGAAGAGTGTAATTGTTTGGTCAAATTACTGCTAGCCTGCCAAGACTGTTACAACTGACATCATCCAAAGCGCACAACTATTGACCAAAGAGAAATGAGAGATAGAAACAGCTCCAAAGACGTCCTTTGGCATTATGCCGCTTGTTCAACCACACCATTCGTCCAATCTTATCTAAGCTTAGTGATAATGTGTGACCGCTTAGTGGCAGAAACTGGACGACAAATTAGCGCAAAGCTCATTTCACGGGAAGCGAGTATGCGCCAAGACAGTCTGATGGCATCTAACAGAAGCAGTGCCTTACAATTTGTTTCACTCGAACCAGGATCATCATCACTGCCGTTAGCTCTTCTACTTATGTCAAAATGAAGGACGAAAATAGGCCAGGCTCTTATATTCACGCGCCACTCTAGGCACTAGCCAAAACGTGTGATCCATCAGTTTCCGAGGGTCCTAGCAAGTTTTATCATTGTCATGGATGCGACCGCCTATTACCAGTCTTCTGCGTCTGCAACTCAACAGTCTCTGGTCGAGTTAAATTCACCGTAAATGTAATCACCTTTGTAGATATCGCCGTGATCCCAAACTGTGGTGCTACACTTGAGGACACTTAAGTTGCATACACAACAAACACAAACTGAAGGAAAAGGAGTGTACTATCTTCACGCGGTAAAAACCAAGGAGCAACGAGCACCTGACCATGCTGGCCAGAAAATGGATCCATCCATAGCGTCCTGATAGTCAAACTGCATAAATCATCCCGAAAATTCCGCTGTCATATTGTTAGGTAAATTGACTGACGACGAGGACTAGTGAAGCTCGCTGGGAATTTTGACGAAAGTAGAAGCTGAATGCACAAATCTAATGCGAATTGCTGATCACCCAAACTATGCGCACCACGCAGAACCCAGAATCACTAGATCAGCACTTGAATCCACCCAGAGTTGTAGCATAGGAAGGCGGGGGTGGGACGGTCCTCCCCGAGCGGCATGTGACAGGCGGCGGCATTTTTGGTAACGTCGACTGTTCGCTACCAACTGCAATGGGTGAACTATCCGGATAAGCGGAGGGGTGTAGATTTGTATGTTACTTTGCACGACTAACAACACCTTTGCTTCATGCGTAACACCTGTGCAGACCTTCAGCTTAGCAGTCTCCTTTCTTGTCCCATTGTAGTCACTTTCACTACATCTAACTCAGTGTCCCAGACTATCATTCACTTAATGGAAAACGAATGTGCACTTTACCCTATGCCGATTATGTGACCTTAACACGGCTATTCCGCAATTATTCAGGGCTACATTTTCAACAGCCCTCTTTGCGGCAAAACTAGTTGCTACGCCACGGAAACAACGAATGATGTAGAAAATGTTTTATTCTCTGTAAGTACGCTATAACAACGATCCTGTATGATACACATCTATCCTGACATCCTTTGGATTACATGACGATCGGAATGTAACATCTTGAAAGGACACAGCCATCAAGATGGCCTAGATCTAAGCACATCACAGTCAGGATGTCACGTGCACTTCAGAATGACAGCTTCCTCGAGTCTCTTCCGTTGATGTTTTAGGGTTATCCCAGCTCTTATCAAGTAACATCACCGAGCGAGACAATGCTGCGACGCTCAAGCTACGTCCGGGCGGTATGTCTGCTTTGGATGTCTCGTTACATGTCTCTTTGGCAAAACGAGCTATCACAAGTCGAGAACCATCACAGTTTGCCTCATACATGGTCCGTACCATCACATTGCCTCGCTTTAATGTTTACTCTTCTTTGCTTTACAGTGCCAGAGGGGGGAATCTAAACCCACCTGTTAGAGAGGCAACAGGACACATTATCTTCTATTGTGAGTGCGCCAATCAGATGAATTCTGTCTCAAATGACGCAGTCAACCTACGAACGTAAGTCAAACTCCGAAAAGAATCGGAATGGGGTTTCATGCATTTCATCGCACAATAGTATACTATTGAAGATGTTCTGAAAAGAAATTACTAAAGTAACTTCGAGCTGATCAAACAAACGGTAGACGCTGAACGTGATAAGCGATTGAGCAGCCGTGGGATGAATAACGAATCAGATATGTCCTTGGAATAGCAGAATCGGACCTAAACATTACGGTGAACATCCGTTTACAATGACAGGTGCTGGCCAAACAGAATAGCAAAATGGCGCCTTTTAACAAGGGTCTCGAATATGAAACAGAAAGGATGAACTACTGTAAACAATTATGTCAATTAAACATTTCCTTAAAATGATAAAATAAAGGGTTTTGTGTATAATAATCAATTAATTATACTCTTGGGGATGATGCTACTGAAAGTGACACGTGAACCTCCATTTATAATCAGGCTCGCTGGCCAATCGGACTAATGAAGAGGAGTGTTTAAACAACTATTAATATGTAAAACATAGAAAGAAATAAAAAAGCAACGAAGATCGTTCACAAAATGTATATCAAATGGAGATTCTTCTCAAAAACGCAAATTGAGGCCTCTATTGTTGGTAAAGTTTGAAACAGTTATTTTCTCGTGTGGGCGCCTGACCACGAGTTCACTTGCTTTAAAGGTGGAAATTGGTTCCGTCAATCCATATGAAGCACTTTCCACCTTTTATGTGAGAAACTGCTTCACAAAGTCTTCATCTTTCTTTGGTTCGCCCATTGTTCATTCATTTGGGAATCTGATGGGTATGATGCAATCATCAGTGAATCAGTTGAGCACATAATTTAATATTATCATGATGGCGGTCATCTGATCACATGCTTGAAGGCACCTGGTTTGCGGAGTGCCATCAGTTTCTTTCCATCTGATAGTGGGGCCACGAAGGTGCAGTGTTTGTGTCCTCTCCTTCTGGTGCAAACACTACAGCTTCCGTGGTTGACCACCAGAAGGGAAGGAAGTGATGGCACTCCACAACCCCCCGTGACTTCAATCATACGATCAGTTGACTGTCATCAGTCGACATCGTCCCGCAATGCCCGTAGCCTAGAGGTAACGAGCCTGTCTCTTAATCTTGCAGCGCTGGTTTGAACCCATGTAGGGGTAAGCGTCCTCACGGTATGCTTAGCCCGCGTGCCACTGGTGGTGGTCGCACGGCAGCGAACAGCCGTTACGGCGTACAGCTGACCCATTGACTGCCATCAAGATCACAGGTTAAATTGTGTTTCTTCGTTATACTGACGATTACAACATACCAATTAGCTTCCCGAATGAATAAGTGAGATTTGTGAAACTACAGTTCGACTTTCTAAGTACGGGATGACCGCATGCCATCAAGCGGATTGATTTCTAATTTCCACTGGTCAATCCAGTTTGATACACAGACTAGACGTACTGCGTTTTTTGAGATTTTTGCTCGCGGACGTAAGTTGTTCCAAACAGTGATATCATACCAGCTGCAAATTTCCCAAGCTCCGGAAATTCAGCATCAAGTAAGTAGTGGTAAAATCCAACGTTTTCTTCCCCGTGCTTTTGTTTGAAAAATCTATTTGCTTGCCAAATAAACAGCTGTAAATTTAGTTCATCAAGATTGAAATCAGACAGAATGTAACACAGGAGGTTTCTGCTCACAATTCTTTCAAGATGCGAATACCTCTCTGAAATATGCCTATTCAAATAACAAATAATTAAGCTCGGAAAACAAAGACATCTTTGGAGATCATTGTGCTTCAAACAATGACAAATGTTTCCGAAATCTGTTGATGATTCCGTTGAAGTCATAGATGGAATTCTCCTTTTCATCAGTTTCAAGCTTAGTTTATTTATGTGGGATGAACCGTCAGTCATAATTGCAAACTTTGACAGCCAGGTAGAATGTTACAGCAGTGGGTTAGCTCTATTTGTTCCAGTGACCAATGGAGATATTCCCTTTCGAAACTTGTAAAAACGCAACAAGACTTTTTCGCAACTGATTCATAAGGCAAATCAAAACATTTTAAAGCAATAATTTACAATTCCTACTGAAATCGACGGTGGTTAAGAGCATCAACTAAATTGAGGTTAGCATTATAGAAAGGACCGGTTTCCGTACACAAGAAATATCTAAGTCTTTCCCACACAGTGCGTATTGATATAGGTTGCAGTGAAGGAACTGAATGACATGCATGTGTAAATTCTCCAACTTAATCCTGATCTGCCCTACTCAGAACCTTCCACCCTCCCTCTATCAACTGTAACCCTTTGAATGCTATTTGACGAAAGATTATAGCCTTGCACAATTTTGTGGGTGAGTTCAAACGGACGTTCGGGATAAGCGAGTGATAAATGACGCTAAGCTAACCGTATGAGGTGCGACAAACCTGTGTGGACGGTCTTAGTGGATTGGCAGCACGCCATGCATCGCTCAACTTGTCGAAGCTGACAAGCAGTCTGATGTGGCCAACCATACCAGAGGTGCGGTGGTGTTTAAACAGAGCGGGGTTATGTAACGAAATGATTGAAAGTGCTTTCGTAAGAAGGAAGCGTGGATTATCTAAGTGCTCAAAATCGGTTACCAATGGCGGGTTGTAGTTTGGTGACCCACGCTCTAGATCATCCGGTTCTCTTTGTTAAGCCCCCATATTACGACGTCAGTGACCCGCTTTTGAGTTGGATAGCCAACTTTCTTCTTCAACGACAGTTAGTGGTCAGAGTCCGGAGTTCGTTATCCGACCCTACACCAGTCGAATTTGATGTACTTCATGGATCAGTTCTAGGGTCACGATTAGTTTTCTATTCATCAAGAACCTTGCACGGACAATCGCTTCAAACTTCCTGCTGTTAGCTGACGGATTCAGGCGGACGCCCATCCGAATTTACTGCAGTGTGAGCTAGATTTAACACATCAATGGTCAACGCAGAATCCATTGCAGTTCCACGTGAGCAAATGCAACGTACTCTCCTTACGACAAAAAGGTACCTAAGCCTAGCAGCAAGGAACAAAATTACTGCAGTGATTTTCCCTTCGAAGGCGACTTCTTCGCATGAGTTTAGTTTAACTTGCGTTATTTCCGGCAATGCGAAAGGGATCAAAAACTGGTAACAACACTTCTGGCTCGGACATCTCGATTTTCCGACATTTTATCAGTCTTCTTTTCTATTTCGACTGAAAAGTTCAAACCTGCAGACGTGGTTGAAGCATGACCTCACTGCAATGGAGCAGGTTAAATGTGACTGGAATTCACGCCCTACCATAGAAACGGAGGTGGAAACGATTAGGGATACTCAGCGGGCGGTATAGTCGATTACGAGCTGACCTGATAACAACACACTTGTTTTCGCACAACCCAATTCATGTATGTCACTTTGTACTGCAACACTTCAGTAGCACAAACATGACAGATTGACTCTTGAAATTAGCAGTAGAGTACAGCCGCATAGAATGCTATAGATATTTCTTTTCTTTTCACTGTATCACCTGTGGAACGCCCTCTACCTCCCAGTCAGTTTTGCACTTACACTAATCATATGTTCAAGTCCATTGGTGACTCATTCTACTACCTAATTTTTGTAGTTTTGCACCATATATCCGTCTTACTCCAGAGAACTAACTGGGCCTTTGTATTCGCCGCCACTAAGAGCTGTGGAACTGCGCGGGTCGCAGAGCTTTTATTTAAAAAAGTCGATAACATTCTTCAGAGATTAAATGTGCTAACCGCATTTTTTAAATACTCTTATCCATAACCTACGAGATCACCCGACAAAACCTGTGAAAAGGGCTTCTTAACCTGTAGAATGTCATCTTTTAGTGATTTTGACCGCATTCCACTAAGGCACCGTTTGAGTAAGGAAGTACTGAACGAGAAAATAGCGTAATGATTGCCGATGTTAAGTTGAGGTTCAAGCACAGATTGTACTATAGAGAGAAGCTGTTCCCCGTCGATGTTTTTACAGCAAACTTTGAGGTGCGGCGCAAATTGCGCTTTTGGTTACTATCGCTCTCGAAATCATAAACTTACTAAACAAATTTGTCTTATAAGATTTTGTAATTAGGGAAAACACTGTCTAGATTGATAAACTAGACTTCAACATTTCCTAATCGACAGAAAGTGAATGCCAGTGATTTACCTGCATATTCAGCATAATTGCTCCCATTTGTATTATTCCACATCTTAATGGTGATATTGTTTTGCATCCACATTGTTGTAAAATGATGGAAAATTGTACAGTTGGATATTTGAAGCATATACTGACTTCATAGGAGTTCCAAAATATTAACTGACATTGCACACAATTTCACATCAAGCTCGTTTATTCTTCTTCTTTTAACCCAGGAGGACACGTTGTCAATCAGCATGCAACATTGCACAAGTGAACGGAAAATTCTTGTGTCCGCATTGGTCGATTTAACTTTGATTAACTGGATTCTACTAGTAAATAACTTAGTCATGAAAAGACGGTCTAGCAAACAAAATCGTTTTCGGATTTTCTTCATCCAAGTTGTTGGAATGAATCAAGGGAGGCAGAATCAGAGTAAAGAATTCTTTTCGGTAATTCTTATCGGACTCAAACATTACACGATGAGGAGAAAGTGCTAAATGTGTCGGATTGGGTTGCGTATTGAACAGAATGTTTAGTTTCACGGGTACAAATCAATAACTCACGGGGTCATGGGAAGTGGCAAAGTATGTACAGGGGAAATCATAGCCGAAGTTGTAGGCCACGGTAGAGGTAAAGGACGTACAAACTGTTTTTAAACAAAACAGTTCGTAGGAGTTTTTGAAGAAAAAACGCAGTTTGTACGTCCATTACCTCTACCGTGGCCTACAACTTCGGCTATAATTTCCCCTGTACATACTTTGCCACTTCCAATGACCCCGTGTGTTATTGATTTGTACCCGTGAAATTAAACATTCTGTTCAATACGCAGCCCAATCCGGCACATTTAGCACTTTCTCCTCATCATGTAAAGTTTGAGTCCGATAAGAATTACCGAAAAGAATTATTTACTCTGATTCTGCCTCCCTGATTTATTATAATAAATGGGAATTTTTGGATTGCTGAGGATCAGCATTCCCCTGCGATTCAGTCAAGCTTTTCTTCATCCAGCCAACTACAACACATTTAGGTAGTTAGAAAGGTGAACTAATAACAAGAGAACGAAGGTTTCAAAATGTCAAAAATTGGACAGCTTTGTTCACACGGAATTCGCCCGTACGACATTTGGCCATCTTAAAGCCGAAGTTAAGAGAGCTTAAGAACCAAAAAATGTTATGGGATCCATCATAAGACAGCTAACAATACTGAAATTCATTCTGGATCCATCCTAAAGCCAAAACACTGGACACTTGGATAGAGCCGGAACTTCAGGGTTTCTATTGACAGTTGAGTTCACGAAAGTAACCTGTAATCTTTATTATACTGAGAAATACTCGACCGAAAAAATTTAAGGCATACAATTCTATCGTCTACTTCCTTAGGTGGCGCATACTGTGCTGTTATAAGATTTCGGAAAAATTCACACAAAATCACCTGCCGATATTACTGAGTTTCAACACCACTGAGATTGCCCCGTGGTTGCTTAAAAACCTGATTCTTATCATAGCTACTACTTAATTCAATTCTGATCGGAATCCACTGGAATGAGAGTTACAGAAATATTTACTTCAGAAATTCGTGCTAACATCATCATCATCATCATACACGTTAGCTAGAGGTGGGGAACACCTCAGCTACTGTGCCGCAATACATAGAAAAAAGGCGGAAAATAAAAGCAACTGGTGCAAGCTGGCTGAGCTACCGGTAACGGATGGGTATCGTTCCGGTAAGCTAGCAGCCGGCTGCTGTGTACCAAAACAGAAAAAACTACTATGCAAAATTATATAAGGCTAAATAATGAGATCGTGGTTGGAGGGGGAGGCTAAGAGGGATGGGGTGGGACAAAGAATCTCACAGCACGAAGGCCACTGAGGTCGGCTCCTAGCCATATCAGCAAGTGTGTTCGTGCTAACGCGAACTCTGAACAGTCACCTTTGAAATTCCGTGTTCACACTAAAGTTTGCACACATAATGTTTATCACGATGTCGCTAATGATTCGAATTCACGTTATGTAATGGAGAAGAATACTTGTGCAACCAAGTTAGAATCTGTTATTACCTTGAATGAAGACAAGCCCAAATCTGTAACACACGCTGACAAGTTAAACGGAACCATCTATGTTGTGAAAATAATAAGGTTTCTGGTAGTCCAACTTCAGAACGAAAACTTATCGTACCACTGCCAAAAATTAACGATTCCTTTCCGGAAGAAGGTTGGCACAAGAAAAGTCCTATCTTTAACTATACACTATGTGTACACTAATCTGCAAACGTTTAGAGAGAACTCAACTGTAAGGAGGTGTTTGGTCTCCGGTATAAGACTCCAAACGTCTTCTGTTGTACACCCTGCTCCACTGCTTATCCATTTATCAGATTTATGCTACACAAAGTCGTTGTACCTCTAATGTCAGACCCTGAGACAACTCATACTATTTAGTGCTCTTAACTTTACATCACTCAAAAACAATGTGGCTAAGCCTGAATGCTTGACGTAGCAACCCAAGCAGCCCCACGTAGCATTAACAGCACCAACCTGCGCGAACCAAAACTTAACTACGGCAGTTTTGGCAACAGCTAAAACTTACATACTCATCTTTATTGCACAGTCTTGGCAGTTCTATGCCTTTTCAACTAGATTTTAAATCTAGCACAATTATGCCAGCTTTACGGCGGCCCCAGTATCCAGAGGGTTACATCACCACCACCACCACCATCACAATCACCACAATCACCACCACCACCCACCACCACCACCCACCACCACCACCACCATCATCATCATCACCACCAGCAGCTCTAACATGACTACCGATGCGTGCATCAACAATGACATGCTCTTATTTATCTATAAAGTCCTAACTCGGTCAGGCAAGTAAGGCACTATCAAGCTGCATCTTATCAAAGCTCGACCACGAAATAATAAATAGACAGTTTGTGTGATCTGTTTACTCGCCCAACTTTGATTTATTGTTCATCAATGAAAGCTGGCATAACCCCCACAATCCAAATGAATTCTACCAAGTAGTAGGCTATGCATCATCCATAACTACTCCAGCTTTCCGCGCTTCCGCAAAACGCAGAAACTCGCAGAATTCACTAACTGTCGAGGAAAATAAAAACGGCAGCATCGCAGAAAAATGGAAAATTCATTAGGAAAGCTATTTTGATATGGTTTGGGCTGTATTCAATATACTTGGATACGGAAGACATGCCAAAGTAGCCCGCTAGCGTATCAGAACCTTCATCTCGCTATCATCTGCTGTCCAAGTCCCATTGTATCCCATTCACAGCTGCGACCGCGGTTTTATCCCAACCCTAGTGTCACACATGCATTTATCCAACCTAACCATACCCCAGTTATCTGCTCACTGTGTACACTCATTATATTGTTCGTTATGTAAACATCTTTTACAGGCATGAAGATTAAATCTGTTTGACATCTGTTCTTTCAGACCTGCGCGTACCTGGCCGGTACCTACCACCCGCATTACTCTCACCCGCGAACTTGATGCACTGTCGCCTCATATCCGTTGAACAGCAGCCACATCGTCGCATAGAACAAGGCGACGCAATATGAGTGACCGTGTTAATTCGATGACAGACTGAAGTCGCCGGAATCTGTCACTGTAAATACGTCATTGGAATGCGCCACATTCCGTACGAGCAGAGGCTGAAACCTTTGGGAGTATTCAGAAGCTGGTATTGCAGACTACGAAGCGACTTGATTAGGGCGCATTTGATTGTACACAATCCAAATGTATGTCGCTCTTTACTGCAACGTATCAATAACACCAGACTTAGGGACCACTCCTTGAAAGTAGCAGAAAAACACAACCGCCTGGCGCACCGTAGAAACTTCTGTTCCGTTCGTGAGTGTCAACCATGTAACGCTCTCCCCTAATCTGTCGTTTCATCACTCACGCTAGCTACCATTAAAAGTCGGTTGGATGACGCACTCCGCCACGTACATTTTGTTAGTTGACACTAACCTCCACTCTACTCTCGGTGAATACCTTGTATTTACTTGTTTTCGCCTATTGAAGCTATGGAAACACTCGGAGTGCAGGGCTACAGAATCAACAACGACAATTCTATTATTTTGACAGTAATACTACTATCTGCGTTTCATTAACGTTTTTCGGTAACCCATCAGATCACCCAACAGGGCTTGTAAAACAATGTTTCTTAACCTGTATAAATCATCGTTCATTGTTAATTGTAGTCGTGAGAACGGTGCAATGTACCCTATTTGGGTACTTCGTGACAATACTGTTGTTTCAGTTCTGTGCGGTTAGAGTTGAGGTTTGTCATCACCGAATTTTCGTATTCCTTTACTTAGTACCGTAGTTCAGTCTCAGCTTTTACTTTTTTGACCCGGTATTTCTACGTGTTACTTGAGCATTGAACGCATCTGCCACTTACCACTATCAACAGCTTTTATCTTTCACAGTTGTCATCTCGGAAAAGGAAACAACACTTCGGTGAATAAACAGCCCTGGACTGAATGAAGGTGTTTCTTAGAAAATACTATGTTGCAAAGGAGGATAAAATCTACTGTTTTGTTCATCGTGTGAAGTGACTGTGTATACGTTTCGAAAAGCAACGTTGCTTGAGCATATTCGCAGTCAGGAGCATCTTCAGTAGAAAGCTCACAAGGAGGAACAATCAGCTAAACTTGCCGCCAAGGGTGAACCAGCTCTGAGAAAATTTTGGACAAGCAAGAATCATTAGTTCCATCGCCGTTGTGAATCCTGTCCATGAAGCCTGCTACACGTTCTACTTGATAAGTTATCTGCGGATATTCCTCTAGAAAAGACCGGCAACCCCTAGTTGAGGTAATTTATTCACAGACACGCACGTCTGAAAATTCCCTGGGTATACGGAAAACACAAGCAGATATTGAGAGAGCTGTTCTGTGACATTTTTTTCAGCGTCAGAGCAAACGAAACAACTGACGATCGCGTTAAGAAGGAACAACGCATATTAGTATGTCCATCATTCAAAGTTCAACAAGCACAGAATGCGTGCATAACTCATCAGTCGGTCGATATGAAGAGTCATTTCTACCGCAGTTGGAGGAGCCATTATACGCAGCTTGAAATGATGGGTATAGACATCAGTCTTGTGACGACTTTTGTGTCTGATGGCGCAAGATATATGCCAGCATGTTATCGTGGTGTCATTAAGCCTGTTGGTAAGAATTCAGTTCACATGAAATGTGTTATTAATTGCCTCAAGTTGATTGCAGAGATCCTTCGAAAATTCTCTCTGTAAGTCGACGGATTCGTTGCGACAATGAATTGCCTTTCGTT